TGTGTGTGTGTGTTTGTCTCTTTGTGAGTGAGTGTGTGTGTGTGCACACAATGTCACTGGGCTGTGTAATTGAAATGGAAATGAGCCAATCAGCGACTGCAGTGGTGTGCCACCTTACCCTGCATTCACTTCACTGTTCCAGCTCTCCCAAACTCACTCTCTCCATTTGCGACTCTGTTTGCGTGAGCATGTGTCTCTATGTATCTGTGTGTATGTGTGTGTGTTTGTGCTGACAATTCTTGGCCCTTCAGTTTCAGCCCTGAGGGCCTGAGGAGGTGGTGTGAAAATGTAATCAGTTGGTAATAAACATTATCTCCCGCTCTCTCACTCACTAATACACTAAAACACACACACATTCACCCACGCTCTGTGTCCAGCTGATTTCCCTGGCTTTGTGTTGTGACCCACAGCTCACTGGGACAGCTGTGGAATAACAAAGACATGTAATTATCACCATTTGACAATTAGCCTACCATCCAACTTTGCTCCTTAATTACCTATTTAACTGCTAGAAGGTCTCCGCTGCCACTCTATGCTGCCGCCGCTACTGTTTTCTCACAAGAATGGAAAAGATTGTAGCTCATGATGTTGCCATTAGTGTGTCGTAAAATAGGGAGTGATTGTGGTGGTTGGGTGGTGCGTGTGCGTGTATGTGGCACTGGGAGAGCAAGTGAGGGCCACTCAGCGCCAACTCCATCTGGACAATTTCTACTGTGATTTGTACCAGCTTTGAGCTCTCAAAGGAACATTAATAGAAATAAACACGTAGGAGATCACAGTAAGGATTCTGGAGTATGCCAGTGAAGTGATTTGTGTTTAATTATAACGCATATTTATTTGTTCAATTGAATTAGCATGTATTTCATTTACTAAATTATTAAATTATTGGCCCCTTGCTTTGACATGTTTTGTAAATACTTAAATTTAGAAACAGTTCTCTTTAAAGCCGTAAACAGTGTTACGTAACAATTAAACGAGGTCCAAACCATAGAGCAGCAAAGACACCTCTATTGGCTAGTTGTTACATGTTGCTGCCACACAGTAACAGGTGGGAAATCTCAACAGCTAGTCATTTTATTGATATTTATTTAATTATTAGTTTAAGTTTAATTTAACATTTGAAGACAGAATAAGGAAATACCATTTCTAATTGGCCAATTTAATATTTTAATGCATTATTTAAATATAAATTTAATTATATTATATTATATTATAATTGCATTTTAAAATTGACCAATTTATCCTTTATGCTGAGAAAATCTTGAATTATTCTGGTAGCACACTCCAGACACTATATCGCTGACACACGCACACAAAATAGCTAATTTTAATGCAGCTTTAATTTACATTTTCTTTTGTTCCCGCTGGATTAGTTGCTCCTGCAGTCTTCTATCATCTTCTATTGACCCCTCTGTTACTGTACCATCTCTCCCGCCTATATTTCACTTTTTGGGATCCTGACAGAGCACAGCCTTGATTTACGTCCCATTGGTGCAACCTCTTGGTGCTTGTGTGTCCTTTGCAGAGGCTGAACAACACAGCGGTTTCCCCTCTTTCGACTCAAAATAGGGGGCTGTTTATAGAACAGCAGCAGCCGATTAAAGCTGCCATTGCTGTAAACAAGACACGGGCCGCATCTAAAACTACCACATTAGTCCCTCGATAACAGGGGTTTCATAAGGACAATAAACACAGCTTTCTACAAAATACAAGACGTTTTCCAGGGACATCATGATAATAATCCTGCACTGAATAGACTTTGAGAAACATTTACAGCATTGGCAGCACACACAGTCATGTCATGCACATGCAGGTTTAGTAGAATCTCCTTTAATGATAAATGCATGGTTGAATGACTCCTGCAAAGACTTGGATTCACTGGGAGCCTGGCAATACTATCTGCAATATCCAGTCTTGCTGCCTCTTTTTTTTTTGTATTACCTCACCCTCTTTTGGAACCTTTCTCTCTTTTCTCTTTCCCACCCTGTGTGTTTCTCACCCTCACTCTCTTTCTCACTCGGTGCCATTAGCAGCTTCTGGCTGTCTCACTGCTGTTCCTTTGCCAATGTGCCAGGGAGCTCACTGAACTGATAACACAAACCTAATGTACGTGCGTAGGTGTGTATGTGTTGAGGTGCGCACTGGGTGTGTGTTTCTTGCATATGTGTGTGTGAGTGTGTTACATGTTACAAATGCCTGTCCTGTCCCTTTTTATGTGCTCACTCACCCAAACATCCTCTGCTTCATTTGCAGTCAGGTCCACGAGCCACTATTCTGACTGCTGAGGCAGGGAGAGAAGGGCAGCTGAAACATCACACACAGACACACACCCACACACATATACAGCCATGCACAAACACACACACACA